CAAAGTTGATATTAAACGAGATATTAAGCATTTTAATAATATATTTTTGTTTCACCTTGTTTCAAAAGGATTTAGAGTGACATCAATTTAGTTATAAAAAAACACGTTTTAAACTGTTTTTCTCAACAAGTATTCAGTTGTTTAGCGACTTCTGTAAAGTGCAAAATGCATGGTTCGTAATCGTGGCTTCAGTTTTCGACTCTTGAATGGAGTGGTTTTCTTTTTCTTTTTCTTGTGTTTGTCGTTTGCGTGTTTTTATCGTGGCTGACTGGCCGTGGTGATAGCTCAGGATTAAAACGCGAAAGGATAAAACGAAATCGAGAAAACTGGATGGAAAATTAAATAACAAAACCTCAAATCGTAGAGTTTTGAGCGAACAAGACGTGACCTGGTGTGACAGAAATTTTTGAATGAGTTGATTTTGGGAAGATTGTGAAAACACCTGATCTTGCAAATTAAGATAAAATGGAAAGACTCATATAATTACTCTGTTGCCACTTGGCGACAGAAAGTCTGTTAACGTTGCCACTTGTGGACAGAAAGTAATTTTGTGAATGTGAATGTTTATTCTAAAATAAATGCGATGGGAATGTTTATTCTAAAAACCTCTGATGATTTGTTGTCCGGTTTAGTTGACCATGGAACGCTACAACCCCCCGAGGAGCCAGTCTGTGTCTCGTTCCTCGTATAATCCCCTAACAAAAGACACACGGACAAAGGACAGTTTCAAAAACAAAATCATTATGGAAAGCTTTTAGTAAAATTGCTCTATTTTTCCCAACCTTATGTTGATAAAGACTCCTTATCTAATGTTAAAGTTTTTAAATAATATCTTGCGCATCTATCCATTTGTAAATTACCAAAATATGCTTGACTACAGCTGTGTTCAGCAAGTATAAAAATACTAGGTTTTCCTGAGTGACAGTCAGTTGAGTTAAGCTACGCTAACAGCTACAAAATGGTTCATGGATGTAGCTCGCTTTTGTATCGAGTGTTTATCATTTGTCTCTGTTTAATTTTAGCCTGTTTTCACCGCGATGGGGGATCCTCGCACACCAGGCAGAGGTATAGAACGAGGGCGCGCAAATTGAAGGAAAATGTCAAAAACGAAGCCTTGAATTCCGACGTTTTAACAGAACAACAACTCTCAACTCCGTCACCCTTCGAGGTGACGATTCCGACGAAAAAATTAAATACCACATCTTGTCCAAACCACAAAAAAAGGAACAGAAATATCAGCGAGAATATATCTTGGTTGAACTACGGGATTTTGCCAGACGTGAGACAGAAAGGCAGAAAACAACGCCTCATTTCAATGACAAAAAAATACAAGCGAAGCAGACGAAACATTCGTACGGTCTCAAGTGAATGCGGCAATTCTACCTTTACAGTAAAATATGAAGATGATTACACAGTGTGGAACAACTTTTTGATTAAATACCAGGGTGAAATATACCGTTTTGATCAGTACAGAGTAACAAAGCAAGGTCTAAAGGTTTGTAGTTCTTCCAACACTCTCATCCAGCACAGATGGCAGAATTTGAACACAAGGGAAAAGGAAAATATGGCTTCCAGGCATTGCAATGTATCTGTGGAAGGTTTTCCAAGACGAGATTACCAAGTTAATAAAAATTTAACTGTTTTCATCAAACTTACCGGGCAAAGTTTCGCAAGGGAGAGCTACGGAATAATACGTGGATATTTTGCAATTTGTTCGACAAAGTTACGATTATCTTGTAATGATTACGTGATTAAAGTAAAGTTTGGCGGACAGTACAGCGTTTGGAAAAACTTTGTGTTATTTTTTAAGAAAAAGGTTCATCATTACAACGAATATCGATTCAACGACGACAATATTGAGATGTGTGCTTCTAATGATTCAGGGATCCAAGCTGTTTGGAGAGCTCAAAATTCGTGGAGAAAGTATGGAAACATTTCCAGATGCTTTACTGAGGCCAGGTATTTCTTTGACAAAAATTATTACGTTGTAAATAAACAGTTTATACTTTATTCAGCATATAACGGTCAGTATTTCACAAGAAATGACTATAGGGTGAAAGACGGCAGACCATATACATGCAAAGAAAAGTTACGACCAAAATCAACAGAGTTTACTAATGAGGATCTATTAACATGCAACGATTCATTCATCAATATAAAATACCATGATGAATACAAAGTTTGGAATAACTTTTCAATACTCTATAAGAACAAGGTGTATGATTATACTGAGTATCGAGTTCTGAATGATACCATAAGGATTTGTTACTCCACTGATCACTACGTGCGGAATAGTTGGAAAATGCGTAATAACTGGGTGAAAGAATACATGTACAGAAAAAATTGCAAAAATCCCAGCTTTACTGGGGTTATAAGATTATATAATTATGTTGTGAACAAGCAGTTTCATGTCTATTGGGCGCCAGCTCAACAATATTTCACAAGAAACGACTATGGAGTAAAAAGCGGTATACCATATACATGCAAAGAAAAGTTACGACCAAAATCAAAAGAGTTTACCAAGGAAGATCTATTAACATGCAACCATTCAATCATCAATATAAAATACGATGATGAATACAAAGTATGGAATGACTTTTCAATACTCTATAAGAACAAGGTGTATGATTATACTGAGTATCGAGTTCTGAATGATAACATAAAGATTTGTAACTCCACTGATGACTACGTACGGAATATTTGGAAAATACGTAATAACTGGGTGAAAAAAAGCATGTACACAAAAACTTGCAAAAATCCCAGCTCTACTGGGGTTATAAGATTATATTTTTATGTTGTGAACAAACAGTTTCATGTCTATTGGGCACCAGCTCAACAATATTTCACAAGAAACGACTATGGAGTGAAAACCGGTATACCATATACATGCAAAGAAAAGTTAAAACCAAAATCAAAGGAGTATACCAAGGAAGATCTATTAACATGCAACGATTCAATCATCAAAATAAAATACGATGATAAATACAAAGTTTGGAATGACTTTTCAATATTCTATAAGAACAAGATGTATGATTATACTGAGTATCGAGTTCTGAATGATATCATAAAGATTTGTAACTCCACTGATGACTACGTACGAAATATTTGGAAAAAGCGTAATAATTGGGTGAAAAGACAAATGTCTTTTAGAGGATGCAATAGATGCTTTTACACCCGATTTTTTGTTACAAGCAAGCATTTCCATGTCTATTGGGCACTCACTAATCAATATTTCACAAGAAATGACTATGGAATTATCAACGCTAAATCTTGTATATGCAAAGAAAAGTTACGACCAATATCAAGAGAGTTTACCAAGGAAGATCTATTAACATGCAACGATTTAACAGAACAACAACTCTCAACTCCGTCACCCTTCGAGGTGACGATTCCGACGAAAAAATTAAATACCACATCTTGTCCAAACCACAAAAAAAGGAACAGAAATATCAGCGAGAATATATCTTGGTTGAACTACGGGATTTTGCCAGACGTGAGACAGAAAGGCAGAAAACAACGCCTCATTTCAATGACAAAAAAATACAAGCGAAGCAGACGAAACATTCGTACGGTCTCAAGTGAATGCGGCAATTCTACCTTTACAGTAAAATATGAAGATGATTACACAGTGTGGAACAACTTTTTGATTAAATACCAGGGTGAAATATACCGTTTTGATCAGTACAGAGTAACAAAGCAAGGTCTAAAGGTTTGTAGTTCTTCCAACACTCTCATCCAGCACAGATGGCAGAATTTGAACACAAGGGAAAAGGAAAATATGGCTTCCAGGCATTGCAATGTATCTGTGGAAGGTTTTCCAAGACGAGATTACCAAGTTAATAAAAATTTAACTGTTTTCATCAAACTTACCGGGCAAAGTTTCGCAAGGGAGAGCTACGGAATAATACGTGGATATTTTGCAATTTGTTCGACAAAGTTACGATTATCTTGTAATGATTACGTGATTAAAGTAAAGTTTGGCGGACAGTACAGCGTTTGGAAAAACTTTGTGTTATTTTTTAAGAACAAGGTTCATCATTACAACGAATATCGATATACCATATACATGCAAAGAAAAGTTACGACCAAAATCAAAAGAGTTTACCAAGGAAGATCTATTAACATGCAACCATTCAATCATCAATATAAAATACGATGATGAATACAAAGTATGGAATGACTTTTCAATACTCTATAAGAACAAGGTGTATGATTATACTGAGTATCGAGTTCTGAATGATAACATAAAGATTTGTAACTCCACTGATGACTACGTACGGAATATTTGGAAAATACGTAATAACTGGGTGAAAAAAAGCATGTACACAAAAACTTGCAAAAATCCCAGCTCTACTGGGGTTATAAGATTATATTTTTATGTTGTGAACAAACAGTTTCATGTCTATTGGGTACCAGCTCAACAATATTTCACAAGAAACGACTATGGAGTGAAAACCGGTATACCATATACATGCAAAGAAAAGTTAAAACCAAAATCAAAGGAGTATACCAAGGAAGATCTATTAACATGCAACGATTCAATCATCAAAATAAAATACGATGATAAATACAAAGTTTGGAATGACTTTTCAATATTCTATAAGAACAAGGTGTATGATTATACTGAGTATCGAATTCTGAATGATATCATAAAGATTTGTAACTCCACTGATGACTACGTACGAAATATTTGGAAAAAGCGTAATAATTGGGTGAAAAGACAAATGTCTTTTAGAGGATGCAATAGATGCTTTTACACTCGATTTTTTGTTACAAGCAAGCATTTCCATGTCTATTGGGCACTCACTAATCAATATTTCACAAGAAATGACTATGGAATTATCAACGCTAAATCTTGTATATGCAAAGAAAAGTTACGACCAATATCAAGAGAGTTTACCAAGGAAGATCTATTAACATGCAACGATTCAATCATCAATATAAAATACGATGATGAATACAAAGTTTGGAATAACTTTTCAATACTCTATAAGCACAAGATGTATGATTATACTGAGTATCGAGTTCTGAATGATACCATAAAGATTTGTAACTCCACTGATGACTACGTACGAAATATATGGAAAATGCGTAATAACTGGGTGAAAAAACAAATGTCTTTTAGAGGATGCAATAGATGCTTTTACATCCAATATTATTTTGCAAGCAAAGAGTTACATGTCTTTTGGGCACCCACTGTTCAATATTTCTCAAGAAATAACTATGGAGTTATCAACGGTATAACTTGTATATGCAAAGAAAAGTTACGAACAATATCAAGAGAGTTTACCAAGGAAGATCTATTAACATGCAACGATTCAATCATCAACATAAAATACGATGATGACTACAAAGTTTGGAATAACTTTTCAATACTCTATAAGCACAAGACATATGATTATACTGAGTATCGAGTTCTGAATGATACTATAAAGATTTGTAACTCAACTGATGATTACGTACGGAATGTTTGGAAAATGCGTAATAACTGGGTGAAAAGACAAATGACTTCTAAAGGATGCAATAAATGCTTTTACATCCAATCTTATGTTGTGAGCAAGCAGTTCCACGTCTATAGGGCACCCACTGGTCAATATTTCTCAAGAAATGACTATGGAGTTACCAACGGTAAAACTTGTATATGCAAAGAAAAGTTAGGACCAATATCAAGAGAGTTTACCAAGGAAGATCTATTAACATGCAACGATTCAATCATCAACATAAAATACGATGATGACTACAAAGTTTGGAATAACTTTTCAATACTCTATAAGAACAAGGTGTATGATTATACTGAGTATCGAGTTCTGAATGATACCACAAAGATTTGTAACTCCACTGATGACTACGTACGAAATGTTTGGAAAATGCGTAATAAGTGGGTAAAAGGAAAAATGTCCTTTAAAGAATGCAAATGCTCTTACATCCGATCTTATGTTGTGAGCAAGCAGTTTCATGTTTATTGGCCACCCGCTAATCAATATTTCTCAAGAAATGAGTATAGACTGTTTCTAGATAAAATTTGTTCATGCAAAGAAAAGCTACGACCAATATCAACAAAGTATACCAAGGAAGATCTATTAACATGCAACGATTCAATCATCAATATAAGATACGATGATGAATACAAAGTTTGGAATAACTTTTCATTACTCTATAAGAACAAGGTGTATGATTATACCGAGTATCGAGTCCTCAATGATACCATAAAGATTTGTAACTCCACTGATGACTACGTACGGGATATTTGGAAATTGCGTAACAAGTGGGTGAAAAACTTCATATCTTTTAAAAGTTGTAATAGATCCATAATCACGAAAACACACAAGCGAGGGGATTTTCCTCTTCTGAAAGAAGTCAAGTTGCAGGAGACCACAATAAAAGTAACAATCTACAAGCGAGGCTACAAGCAAGGAGATTTTCTGCTTCTGAAAGAAGTTCTTCCGGAGACGACAAATTACACGTACATCGACAATACAAGTTTCGTTGAGACAAAAAACAACAACACCTTGCATAAAGACATTATGCCTACAGAGATGACTAATACTAGCATGCCGTCTTTAAATAAAGCTGCAACAAAGTACAGTTACGGCGTGTTTGAAGGTAAATTTATAATATGTTCTGATGAACATGTGAATCTTGATATATCAGATATTGAAATTACTTTCATAGCACCATTTTGTGCCTTGGCTCTCTCAATTATTTGTTTATTACTGTTGTTGATAGTTTATGGGATGCTTCCAGAGTTGCGAACTCTTCCTGGTTTGAATTTGATGAGTTTAAGTTTCTCATTTCTCTTGGCATTGATTAATTACGCAGTGTATTTGTCACTGTATTTACGTGTTGGTAAAGAATTGGATTTCCCATGTGCGAGGCTGGAAATAACAAATAAGTTTATTACGTATAACATTCTCATGAATGCTGTTGTTAACATCTATCACTTGAGAAAAACCTTTTACCACAATACTTTGGTGAGATCTGATGTAAACAAGTTGAAAACCTTTTTTAAGTACAGTCTCTTTGGCTGGGGTGTTCCTGTCGTTATAACTATTGTCTACATCGTTCTTGTGAAGACTGAAGTCTTGAGGTTTCATCAGAATAGCACTCAGAGGTCGGTTTCTTGTGCTAGGGATGGTAAAATTCCTAATTGGCTCGTTGTTGCTGAGAATTATGGTGTTCCAGGCTGTCTGTTGTTGTACATCATTGCAATGTTCATCTTCACCGCTTATAGAATTCGCGAAAAACTCAGAGTAAGCGACAACATTGTACGGAGATCAAACATTGTTAAGAATCGCAGAAACTTTGTCTTGCTTTTTAAGCTGTTAGCCACTACAGCTATCAGCTGGATTCCTCTTGTATTTGAAGATTTAGTGTTTAATTCTGACGTAATGATAGCATTACTGACGGTAGCGTGGCTTACTGGTGTTTATGTTGGAATTGCGTTTGTCTTCACTCGAAAAAATTACCAGCTTTTGAAGAAGAAATATTTTAGCGAGCCCGAAAGCGAGTATAAAATATCGAAAACAACTCAATTTAGCAAACATTGAAGAGATAATTCTTGCAATGAAAAAATTTTTTAATGTAATATCTGTGATAAGTGTAGGATATAATATTAGAGTTAAGATTCATTTTATTCATGTATGCAGTGTTTGTCGTATTAACAACGACGAGTGAGTGATGTGATAGAGTTTCTTTATATACATCAGCGATCATTAGGACTAGTTTGTATACAAAACACAAAAGAAAATATAGATTCAGACTATTTTACATCTGTCACTTTAAGTTACGTTGAAATATTACATACAAAATAAATATTGACTGATTTTTTAGGTTACGTATATTTAAACCCAGACTAGACTAGCCAACCCTCACAGTATTGTATTGAGAAGTTTTAAGTAATAATGTAACCACAAAAACATGAATATTTCGACAGGAAAACAAGTACAAGAATGCACAAGAATGCAAATTAACTAAATACATGTATATTATACTATTAAAGAACGTTGTAGATAGTTTGCATTCTATATTAAATTATATATATCTATAGACTATGAAATACGTTAATTGCTTGCATAAAATTAACAAGTATGTTAAACAATATTTAATAACTTTGTCTTCAACTTATTCTGTGTAATTAAATCAATCAATTTAAGGAAGTATAAATGTGTATAAAATCACTGTAGTAAAGTACAATAAGTAGACTTTAAATGTACTGATTTTTTTGTCATTTTATTAAACTCATATGAAGGATTGGTATGATTAGTAGAATATACCCTGAAAGAGTGCAATAGTGCAATTCAGCCTTGAATATTTTTATTTGGTGTCTTACGAGAAGGGGAGGGAGGGGGGAGTTTTAGGAAGATTTGTCCATACTCTCCCATAGTCCCATAGTTATTTAATCGGAGAAAACGGTCCCTCTGACCACAACGATTACCATGGCTATACTGCATTAAAACAGAAGTCAACCTGTAACCACACAATATGAAAGTCTATGAACTGATAATACCCAGACGCAATCTCAAAAAGTAAATCTTCTTGAAAGGATTTTGATCTCGAAGGTCATATCGTGTTTTACGATAGTTCAAGCTGCATACAAGAAAATATTGATAGGAAAGTATACTTTGTGAAAAAATGTCTTATTTTGGGTTCAATGTCTTCAGTCAACGGAACTTGCAGCATGATTTTCATCCCCAGACTTCCGGATTCTGTTACTCCCTCGAGTCTAGCCCGCGAACAGCTAACAAGCCCTAAACGCAGGCGCTAACTGATTATATCTCTGTAACAACTCTTATCTATTGCGGCAAATATTGCAGTCTGAATATATAAAAAATCACTAAATATATCCATTTTAAACTAAACTAAGATGAAAGAAGTATATTTATTTAATCAACGGCAGCGTGAGCCGTACAGCGCAGGTAGAAAAGCCTGGCTTTCAAAGTTGATATTTAACGAGATATTAAACACCTTGCTTCAAGAGGGTTTAGAGTGAGATCAATTTAGACATAAAAAACACGTTTTAAACTGTTTTTCTCAAGAAGCATTTAGTTGTTAGCGACCTCTGCAAACTGCAACATGGTTTGTAATCGTGGCTTCAGTTTTCGACTCTTGTATCGAGTCGTTTCATTTTTCTTGTGTTTGTCGTTTGTCTGTTTTTATCGTGGCCGACTGGCCGTGGTGATGGCTCAGGATTCAAAACGCGAAAGAATAAAACGAAATCGAGAAAATTGAGTGCAAAATTAAATAAGAAACCCTGAAATCGTAGAGTTTTGAGCGAATAAGACGTGACCTGACGTGATAGAAATTTTTGAACGATTTGATCTTGGCAAGATTGTGAATTAAATCACCTGATCTTGCAAATTAAAGTGCCTATATCACTCGTGGGATCTTTATGCATTTGAAAAGAACGTAAAAAGTTAGTTAATATATTAAAAAAGTTTTTTGATTTAGTGCAATAATTTCGCAGATACAAGCCTCCAAATTACCTGAGGTTCTTGAGTCCCAACCTCTAGAGTTTAAATACGGCTATTCAATTTGAAACTGCCCATTGTTTACAGGAGCCTGGGACTCAGGAACTGCAGGTAGTTTAAAGGCTAGTATCTTCAAAATTATTGCACTGAATCAAAAAACTTTTTTAATATATTAACTAACCCTTTACATTCTTTTCAAACGCATAAAGATTCCACGAGTGATATAGGCACTTTAAGATAAGATGGAAAGGCTCATTGAATTGCTCTGTTGCCACTTGGCCACCGAAAGTCATTTTGTGACTGAATGTGAATGTTTATTCTAAAAACCTCTGATGATCTGTTGTCTGGATTAGTTGACCCTGGAACGCTACGGCCCCCAGAGGCGCTAGACTGCGTCTTGTTCCTAGTAAAACCCCCTAACAAAGACACACCGTCATCGGACATATTCAAAAACAAAATCATTATGGAAAGCTTTTAGTAAAATTGCTCTATTTTTCCCAACCTCATGTTGCTAAAGACTCCTTATCTAAAGTTAAAGTTTTTAAAATATCTTGCGCATCAATCCATTTGTAAATTATCAAAATATGCTTGACTACAGCTGTGTTCAGCAAGTATAAAAATACTAGGTTTTCCTGAGCGACAGTCAGTTGAGTCAGGCGACGCTAACAGCTACAAAATAATTCATGGGTGTAGCTCGCTTTTGTATCGAGTGTTTATCATTTGTCTCTGTTTAATTTTAGCCTGTTTTCACCACGATGGGGGTTCCTCGCACACCAGGCAGAGGTATAAAACGAGGGCGCGCAAATTGAAGGAAAATGTGAAAAACAAAGCCTTGAATTCCGACGTTTTAAAGTGCGTATATCACTTGTGGGATCTTTACGGATTTGAATAGATCTTGAAAATTAGTTTATAACTTCTACAACCCTTTTTGATATAGTTAAATAGTTTTGGAAATATTTACATCTAAACATGACGATTTACCTAAATTTCCGTCGTGCTCTGGGGCCTGGGACTCAGGAACCGAGTTCTTGTGAAACATAATATAATCAATTGTAATTTTACTTCGATCTTTCAATAACGTAAAATATTTTGAGAAAGACTCGCCAAGTTGCTACAGCCATACACAACGCACCGTTCACCGAATTTTTTTCTTGAAAAGCGCAAACTATATCGCAAGTGAAACTCTTCATGTTTACATTATAAAAGACGGCGTGTTTGCAAATTATTCCTGAGTCCCAGTCCCCAAAACCGACGTATTTTCGAAACTATTTAATTAAATCAAAAAAGGTTGTAGAACTTATAAACAAATTTTTCAAGCCCTATTCAAATCCGTAAAGATCCCACAAGTGATATGGGCACCTTAAGAGAACAACAACTCTCAACTCCGTCACCCTTCGAGGTGACGATTCCGACGAAAGAATTAAATACCACATCTTGTCCAAACCACAAAAAAAGAATAGAAATATCAGCGAGAGTATATCTTGGTTGAACTACAGGATTTTGCCAGACGTGAGACAGAAAGGCAGAAGACAACACCTCATTTCAATGACAATAAAATATAAGCGAAGCAGACGGGACATTCGTACGGTCTCAAGTGAATGCGGCAATTCTACCTTTACAGTAAAATATGAAGATGATTACACAGTGTGGAACAACTTTTCGATTAAATACCAGAGTGAAATATACTGTTTTGATCAGTACAGAGTCACAAAAGGAGGTCTAAAGGTTTGTAATTCTTCCAACACTCTTGTCCAGCAAAGATGACAGAATTTGAACACAAGGGAAAAGGAAAAGATGACTTCCAGACATCGTTTTTAGCTCGCCTGCACTTTAGTGCAAGAGAGCTATTGCTATAGTCTTGGCGTCCCCGTCCCCGTCCCCGTCCCCGTCCCGTCCCGTCCCCGTCCCCGTCCCCGTCCCGTCCCCGTCCCCGTCCCGTCCCCGTCCCGTCCCCGTCCCGTCCCCGTCCCCGTCCCCGTCCCCGTCCCCGTCCCCGTCCCGTCCCCGTCCCCGTCCCCGTCCCCGTCCCCGTCCCCGTCCCCGTCCCGTCCCCGTCCCCGTCCCCGTCCCCGTCCCCCGTCCCCGTCCCCGTCCCCGTCCCCGTCCCCGTCCCCGTCCCCGTCCCCGTCCCCGTCCCGTCCCCCGTCCCCGTCCCCGTCCCCGTCCCCGTCCCCGTCCCCGTCCCCGTCCCGTCCCCGTCCCGTCCCCGTCCCGTCCCCGTCCCCGTCCCCGTCCCGTCCCCGTCCCCGTCCCCGTCCCCGTCCCGTCCCCGTCCCCGTCCCCGTCCCCGTCCCCGTCCCCGTCCCGTCCCCGTCCCCGTCCCGTCCCCCGTCCCCGTCCCCGTCCCGTCCCCGTCCCCGTCCCCGTCCCCCCCGTCCCGTCCCGTCCCCGTCCCCGTCCCCGTCCCGTCCCCGTCCCCGTCCCCGTCCCCGTCCCCGTCCCCGTCCCCGTCCCCGTCCCCGTCCCCCCGTCCCGTCCCGTCCCCGTCCCCGTCCCCGTCCCCGTCCCCGTCCCCGTCCCCGTCCCGTCCCCCGTCCCCCGTCCCCGTCCCCGTCCCCGTCCCGTCCCCGTCCCGTCCCGTCCCCGTCGTCCCCCGTCCCCGTCCCGTCCCCGTCCCCGTCCCCGTCCCCGTCCCCGTCCCGTCCCGTCCCGTCCCCGTCCCCGTCCCCGTCCCCGTCCCTCCCGTCCCGTCCCGTCCCGTCCCCGTCCCCGTCCCGTCCCCGTCCGCCGCGTCCACACTACATCATAAGTAGAATGTTAAGATGCCACTTTTATTTTCCCATTATTTCAACTTATCTACTTAAGGAGTCTATTTGTTGCAAAAGAACCATTTACCAGGGGGGAGTGAACATTATACAACAAAATATAATGATAAGGTCAATGTTAAAATGCTATATTTTTTCTACTTTGGCTTTACATCAGAGGAATCATTATCAATATAAGTCATCAATATGCATTGTGACTATTTATTGCCATTTGGTACACATAATACAATAATAAAGAGAGTTTTGCTCAAAATTATCAAATGATAAGGTGAATGTTAAGCTAATTAGCATAATGATAAGGTCAATGTTAAGATG